AGTATGCTATAGTTAGTCTTTTAAATTTACACTGTTAGATTCAGTAACCCAAATCTTCTTGTATTTTAGATAGTCCCAACAATCCAAAAAAAAAAAAAAAAATTGTTACTATCTAAAAGCTCGAAAGCTAACTAACAAAGAAAACCTTATCTCAAGTTAAAAACTTTGTTAAAAAGAAAGGGCTAAAAAAAATGAACAAAATGAAAAAAAACAAATATGTTCTTTAATTTAGACCAGGTTCAAAAATATTAAGTCAGCAAACTTATAATCTATCTTAAATTATTCTTTCTCTAACATTATAATCCATCCTTATTGCCTCATAATAGTACATCAATCACTATTTGCATCTTCTCATATATTTATAGAACTAGTTTCAACAAAACAAGCAAAACAAAATATGTATTTCTATGTGTTTATTTACTGTTTTGTTTATTCCTATAGTTATGCATCTAACAGAGTATATCTAAAAATGGATATGATAAACAATGTTGATCTTTTGTAAAGGGAACCTAGATTCTCTACTTTTGTCAAAAAAAGTAGAAGGCTGACAAGAAAAAGCTTGTAGTATATAGTTGTTTTCTAAGACTTTAAGGAGTGTGTAAACAAAATATTCAGTTATTCTCCTACTTCTTAAGCCTTCTTTTACTAACTTTGTTGATAAAAAACTTTGTTCTAAAAATTCTTTACTAAAATTTTTTATATAAAGACTCTACCTTCTACTAGTTATCTTATATAATATCACTTCTAGCTTGTATGCTAAATATACAAAGAAGTCTCTAGGGAGAAGTAGAAGTCTAGTTGATCTTTGTAAAAACCGTTGTTGTAAAAAAGTCTTCTTCATCGTCTCCAACAAATTTTTGTTTTTTGCTTTTTCAAATTTTTTTTGGAAAAAAAGATCATCAGAAAGAGTGAGTTGCTAATTAGATTTTATTAATTTGTTATTATAGAGTTATTATAGTAGTAATTTTTTAAGATTTTATGTTTATATAATAAGTATACAACAAGCTATATGTATAACTTTAGTCATTATCTAATTTAAATAGTTTGCTATATAGACAATTGACTATCTATTAGTTCTATACTATGCTGCTATATCTGTAATCTGCCTATAGATTATCTATTTAAATATTCTGAACATTAACTTTTCTCTTTATATTAAACTAATGTTACCACTATATCTAATCACTTAAGCTAGCTGACTTACCTATAGATTTATTTATTGTATAACTTAGGTTCTCTCAAGATATGTATTGCCCAACATATTATGAGCATGCAAAACTTCAGTTAATCTCAAAAGCAATTTCTACTAGTATAGTTATATACCTATTTTATCAATTTATCTGAATTAGACTCTTGTCAATGTTCATATAACTTTAGTTTCTACTATAGCTCTTTACTAATTATCTGTTTGCTAATCTCTTTGAATATTTTATAAGGTAGATCTTCTTAATTCATTTAGCTGCTAAGCCAGATTAGTATTGCTAATTTTTTTTGTAGAATAGACTTACTCGTATTTCACTTAATCTATATTTTTAAAGCAATAGTTTTTTTTCTAAATCAAGTATTAACTAGTATAACTGTTGAAAGCTGTACTACTTTACCTACTCAGAATTTTTACTATGCAGATCCTCTACTCATAGATCCTATCAAGATTTATTCATGTAATATTATGTCTCTTCAAATACCTCATTATACTTCCAATATCTAAATGATATTAGTGCAATATGATTTACAGAGTTACAACTCCAGAAATGAACAGAGTTTACTGTAAGTTTAGTACAAAGATCTGAGTAATTATTCAAATTTATCAACAATGAAATTTGAACTTCAGACCTTTTATATAGTAGTCTGACAACCTAACTACTATACTAAGATTACCAGACCTTTTAATATTTTTTTTTCTTTTAGCAGTCATACTAGTACTTTATTAGAATTTTTGAAACTATACAAATTATACAGAATTTTTCTAATTTACAAGTCTAGCATTACTTGGTTTCTATGCAGAGCCTAAGTATAACCTGCTACACTATCTTAATTAGAGATAAACTACTTTGTTTAACTGCTATCCTATAATAGGATATTGTTAATTTGATGTTATTTTATTATAAGAAAGCAAAAAATAAAAAAATTTTTAAGTAAGTAAAAAAAAAAAACAAAAAAAGATATAGAGGTAAACAATAAAAGATACAGATCAAGAAATAAAAAGAGAAAAGAAATAAAAAAAAAGAAAACAAAAAATAAAATTTGTATTTTATAAATATTAATAATTACAATTATAAGCCTATGATAAGCTTTAAAAATTATAGACTATACTAAATAAGAATAACTCTACTATTTTTTTATTAATTAGAATATTTAACAAAAAACTATATAGGAAAAAAAACTTTAATTTAATTGTAAAGAATTAGTATAGATCACTAATTAGTTTAGAAGCAGTATTTTTAGATTTCTAGTATCTTCAAAATATATGTATAGTTATATTTATATTACTATATTATTTTTAAACTATGTTATCAACAAACTTATTTAGAAAGTAAATATAGCTAACTGTTTTAGAAGTTTTATATATAGATTTTTAGAAAGAAATAAACTAAATTGCTTACTTTTTACAAAATTCTCAAAGAAAAATAAAGGCAAGAGATGAACTAACTTTGTAGCTTTTGTGAGTTTTTAACCTTTGTAAGTGTTTCTTGTAGGTTTTATAGTTATATAAAACTAATATATTCAATTTTGTTATTTACTTGATAAAAAAACTTTAGTTTTTACTAACTACTTCTTTTATAGTTCTAGAATACTTTAAACTATTACTACAAAGCTATAATCTCTTTTTAACTCTATTTCAATATCTAACTATATGTGTATAGTACTCTAGAAAAGTTTTTATAAAGGTTAATATATTAACTATATTATTTTTCTATAGTTTAGCTTGATTTTTTTTAAAATAGGTAGATTCTAACTCTTGGATATATGGTTCCCAAAGGGTTAGAATTCTAATATAAAAATAATCAGTTTAGCTTTCTGGAAAGTTTAGTTCAAATGATTATCAAGAAGAGTTTATTTATTATATAATTACATATAAAAAAAATATATATATAATATTAAACCTAAACATGTTCATGAACTTTGAACTAAATTTGAACTAAACAAAATTTTAAGTTCAGGTTCAGTTCAAGTTTATAAATTTTAAGTTCAGTTCAGGTTTAGGTTCAATAATCTACAAAATTTGAAGTTTAGTTTAGGTTTAATGAATCTAGTTTATGAACTTGAACTAAACTAAACTATATTTAAAAATACTAACTATAAGGTCTAAGCTAGATAAATTTGTAAAATAAATACAGACTGCTCTAGTAGGTATGCTTTGAAATTAACTAAAACTCTGCATATTCACAATATATTAAATAATATATATTTTGAAAAAATCTAAGCTAAAGTTAAAAAATAGATCTGTAATAAGCTAGCTAGCTTAAACAGTTAAGTATTATAATGATGTTAATTTATAATAGTATAAATTAGTTGAACAGAATGTTTAAATAGATAACTCATAGACAGATTATAGATATAACAGCATAGTATAGTACTAACAGGTGGTCTAATACCTGTGTAGCAAACTATTTAAATTAGATAATGACTAAAGTTGTATGTATAACTTGTTATATACTCTTCATATAGTTACAAACTGTAGAGATTACTTATATGTAATTTTATATATCAAACTAATAAAAATCATTTAACAATGTAAGTTACTTTAATAATAATAATAATAATAATAATAATAAGAATTTTTATTGTTTTAATTAAAAGTATCTAAAGTAAAAAAATTTTTATTAGAAAAACTACTAATATTAACCTGTTGATTTTCATAAAACTATAAAAAGAAATTTTTTGTAATGTTTTTTTCTTCTGTTGTAGTTTTTAAATCAGAAAAAGGTTTAAATGAAATAAATTTTATATCTTCATATCTGCAACAGTAAGCCAGATAACTTTACTTAGAGACCTAAGGTAGCTTTAATTAGTAGGGTTTTGAGAAAAGGTCACGGAAAATTTTTTAAAACTTTAATCTAATTTGGCAAAATAATCTACGGAAAGTCTTTTTAATAATAAGAATAATACGACAGAGTGAAACCTGAGTCACCACTGGTAAAATTCGGGGTTTGGAGTGAAATCTGCTACGTAGATCACATGAGAGTTGAAATACGCTTTTATATACTCGAGTTTTACTAGCTGGTGACTCAGGTTTCACCCAGTCCTATTATAATTATCAGATTATTTTAGAACATTCTGTTTTTTACAAAGATATTACAACTCTTTTTATAATATTTGGATTTCGAGACTATTCTCTGACACGATTAGTCTCTTTTTTCTACACTATTACTCTCGTCATCATCCTCGTCATTACTTTCATCATCATCTCTCGTCATCATCTCTCTCGTCATCATCCTCGACATCATTCTCTCGTCACCTAAAATAGTGGAGCAACGGGGCTGACACGTGGACGTATCTATTTTTGTTCGTGTCAACCTAACATCGCCATTTCACATTTTAGGCGCAGCTCCGTCCTTATTTTACGTGTCTACGAAATTACTTTTATTTTAAAAATTAATTTTAGCACACATTTATATATTATTAAGTGAAATAAAGATCCTACGTAACATTTTAGAATTTTTTTTTTCTGGTCACTATGATAAACATCGAAAAGGTTTATAGAAAAAAAATTTGTTTTTTTTTTTCATATTTTACTAGTTACTTTTATTATAAAAGCTAAGCAATTAAACTGATAAAAATGTTTTATACTACAGTAATTAAAGCAACCAGAAATTTCATAATTTCAGTATTTATACTATACCGAATTTTGGGATAATGTTTTAATAATACAGTATTAAACTAATAATTTAAAATCTCAAAAAAATAAAAATAAAAATAAGTAAATACTGTATATTTATATATATATTATATATATATATATATATACTTTTTTTTAAAAAAAATTATTAATTATTAAATTAAACGATTTGACTTCTATATTCTGCTTTTAAAGTATCGATTAATCCTTTTCTATCTTTAAGATTAAACATTTTGTTAACTTTTTTTATTAACTTATCATCATCCATTATAACTAATGTTGTCGATAACATTATCATTGCATGTTCAAATGATGATGTTATTAATGTAGCTAAAATTTTTTAATAAAAAAAGTTAATATACGTATAATTTTTATTAAATAATAAAAAAAAATAATAGATTTTTTTTTTAAAAAAAAAAACATTATATATATGACATACATACCTTTATGATATTTTAATAAAGCAACTGCAACAAAATATAATATGTCAAAACCATGTAACATTAATAAATCCCAAATTCTAAGGACAGTATGATGGGGTACAACATCACTTGTAAACAACGTTATATACCATCTTGTTGCATATGCAGTACTTGATAATTGTAATTTATTCTTTTATATAAAAAAATAAATTTTTAAATAAAATCAATAATAAAATATATTATAGAAAAAAAAAAAAACTATGTAAAAAAAAAGAAAGAATACTTACAAATTGAGAGGAAATTTTCGGAGCATATTTTATTAACAATTTTTCCTGAACATAAAAGCTTTCCAATAATGCGGGAAATCCAGGTATAAACAAGTTATGTAAATTACATCTTGTAAATAATTTTGTTAACATTATAAATGCACACTAATATGAAGAAAGTAAAATATTAATAAAATTAATATAGAATAGATATTGAAACCTTTGAAATATAATTTTACAAACCTCTTCAGTATAATACATTAATAAAATCGTTACAATGTTTGTCATCCCTTGACAATAACCAACTTGTTTATTATAATTTGAAAAGGCCTGAAGTACGTTAAATAATGCTCTTTGCCTATTCAAGATAAAAAAATTAATAACGAATTATGGTATTAATAATTAATAATTTCGAGCGATTACTATGTACTGTACGTACCCAGGACCATATCTTGTTCGAAACATAATATGAGAATGTAATGTACGTGGAATGTCCAAATCAATTTGTTTTTCGTGTTGTGAAGGTAATGTTAACAACGTCTTGAATATAAAATTATTGAATATTAGTAAAAAATGAACGATAAATTTGAATAAATTTTGAAGCAATAAAAAGTCGAATAATTTTACCTCATATGTACGGTGTAAATTATCATCAAACTCTGACTCAGCATCTCCATTTGTAACCAAGAAATACCTATAATATAGAGAAAATAATAATTATAAAATAAATAAGTTGTATTTAAAAACAATAGTATAAAAAAATTAAAATTATAAACAATTACCAAACAGGATGCCTCCAAGAATCAGGGATTCCTTTATGAACTCGACTATAAAACTAATAATAATTATTATTATAAATGAAAATGATTATATGCCTGGTATTGTATAAAGGTACGTAAAGATGTGTACTAAATTTAAGGATAATATGATACCTATAGATTTACCTTTTTATTCCAAGGAAAAACATAACTGCTACAACCATACTTTCCAGATTTTTTAACAAATTTATTTGACGACACCCATGAAGCCCACTTTTGTGATCTTTCAGATTCTTTTTTTTCAAGCCTATTTAAACAAGAAATAAATTAGGTTATTTGAATGATAATGGTAATATAATAATTTTGTTAATACTGTATACTGTATGAGGAAATATAGTAATAGTTGACCTTATTTCATGAAATGATAAGGGAGGAGCAGGGCTCTTTCCGTCAGAAGAAGTTAGAAAACCATATCTATAAAATAATAATAATAAAAATAAAAATAATAAATATAGAATTTCATATAGCACATTGTAAATTCTTTATCAAACACCCATTTCTCACCTATCAACACTTGAGCTAAATTGATCAAAAACTAAATCATCTTTAGGTAAAACCAATTTCCAACGTTCATATAATGTTCTAATATCATCAGGATCTGTTGATCCAACATTTGAATTTTTAGAATAATGAAGACCAGAATTACTACTATGCCATCTTCTTAAATGGCCATTAAGACCTACACTTTGAGAATGAAAATTATAAGTGTTTCGAGAAGATCTTGAAGTATTTGAAGTTCCAATTAATGGAGTTATAGATAAAGGAGTTTCTGATGCAGGAGAAACAGAAGTAGTTGTTCCAGTTACAGATGGAGTGGGAGATGTTGAATCACTTGTACCTATATCAACACCAACGCTTGATTCACTTGTATTTAATATACTACTACTATTTAAATTATTTAAATTTGATACATCTCCACCTAAATTAAAAGTATGATCATTTTTTGAATATATATCTTTATTACTCTCTAGTAAATTTTGAGAAATTTTTTCATAATTATCGCAAGAATCTTTTGAATCATCTTTTATAGCAGATGATTTGATAACGGTTGATGACGCAGTTTTTTGTGATATTCTTGAATTATAAGATGATGATGATGGTAGAGAATTTTTAAAAGTTGGTATACGAGAATTAAGAACTTGAGAATTTTGAATTTTGGATGAAGTTATTAAAGGTGATTTATAGATCATTGCAGTTGTTGATGGTGGCTGTTGAACTATAGGTGTTGTATCTTGGAGAGTTGATATTGAAGTCACTTTTGTTAAATTTTCGTTTATCGATTGGTTTTGTCCTCTTAATTCGAGAGACATTTTTATATATATATATATATATATATAATAATTTGAGAAAATAAAAAAAAATGAAGAGTGAAAGAAGGAAGAAAAAAAAAAGTTTATCGGGTAACCGATGAAAATTTATATTTTAAATAATAATGATTGATTGATATAATGATATTTACAAAAATGTTAAAAAAAAAAATAAAAATAAAGTTTCCGAAAAAATAATCAGTACTTAAAGGATATATACAAAAAAAATAAAAAACATATATATTTAAATAACGAATTTCTTAATTTTCGAAAAAAAAAATTTTTAAAATTAAAAAGAAAGTATTTATCCTTTTCTTTTCGTCTTTAGATTAAAACGAAGAAAGAAAATTTGAAACCGCGTGACCAAGACGAACACCATAAATAATTTGGAATAAGTGTGAGTACGTGAGTTGATAATTGCAGATTGTTAAAATTACACCTATGATTATAAACCAGTTTGAATAAATTTGTACGTATAAATTTGCATAAATTTGAATAAATTTGAATAAATACAAAAATTTCATATAAAGATAAGCAAATTATGATTATATATCATAGGGATTACATAAAAGAGCATCACGAGAGAGTTCAAAAGAAAAAAATGGAAGAGTTCTAAAAATAAGTAAGCAGTACATTACGTATTAATATTGTACAAACAACAAATCATGTGTAAATATAAAATAGTAAATCGGACATATTTAATACGTAATACAAAAGAAACTGAATATATTTTTTCCTTTTCAAGAGTTGAATCGGCTTTTTCACGTGAAATTTGAATATTTGACAATTACTGAACTTTCATTATCATTATCGTTATTCGGATAATTTTTGATTTAGAGGGAAATTTCTAAAGTAGTTTACAAAAATTTTATTTTAAAGTTCGGGATACAAATCCCGTAAATCGATATCTTTTTATGGCTTCATAAGCATTCTGAATTTCCTTTCAAAGTAAGTGCATAAAGACGGTTATAAGTAACCGACCAAATATTTATACGTACTAAAGATCATAATAATAATAAATCCTTTGCTTTTATTTGAAGGTCTTTATTTAGATATAACAAAATACAGTATGTAATGCAATTAAAGAAATGAAAAGATATAATAAGAAAGCAATATAGTAATCCAAATGCAATGCAAAAGTATATAAATAGAACAATAAGTATGCATTTCTTCGTGTTTAAAAAATTTTTTTTATAGAAAAAGTGTATTTGATGCATATAAATTTTTGACCAATCTAATTAATAAAATTTGACTAGAAATTATTTGTAAAAAAAGCTGCAAGTCAGGTCAGGTAAAATCTTTAAGGTTTCAAAAAATTCCTAAACCTACAGGATACGCAGAAAAAGTTTCAAGTTCTTTGTTACTCAACCTGCGCATTGTTAATTGTTATTATAATTAGACAATAGATTATCATTATCTATCTTTTTCCGTTTATTATTCGTATTAATAAAAATTGAGCATTCTCTCAAAGTTATGTTTTAAACCGAACTTTTGTTTAACCGAAGTATAATTAAAAACAGAAATTTGCTCCAAAAATAGTTATTTAAACGCTTCTGTTCAACATTAATCGACTTATAAAAGCTATTTATGTGTAGTTATATTATAAATCGCTACTCTGTTATAATCTTAACTAAATTGTGTGATACGTACTGTATCTGGTATGTATGTATGTAACGTACGTACGTACTTGCGTATGTGTTTACAGTATTTCTTATATTTTAGTTCAACTATTAGATAAATATTTAAATAAATATTTGCTAAATGCCAAATATTTATGATTTGTTATTCAAAAAAAGAATGAATTTTGTAAATATCTAATATTATGGGTATTAATGTTTATATTATAAGTTATTAATGGAATGTAAATCAAATATTTTTATACCCGAAATCTTAATATCACGAAGGTTGTTTTTCCTTTAAAGATTTAAATGTAATTCATTGAATTGTAGTGGTAAATTCTCTTGCTTGCTTGTGATAAAAAACTTGATTAATTGAGTCTAAAAACCAAATGTAGGGATGTTAAATTGCAGGTCCGGTCCTGGAACGGTCCTAGACTTGTTATGTAAAACGTCCCAGGATCGTATCCTGAATCGCAATCCTCCAAATAAATCCATCCAATCAAATTGATGCTTTATACGAAAAAAATTTTACGGTTTTATAAATTTATTGTAATATAATATATCGATACATAACGATAAAATAATAATAAAATAAAACATTCAAAAAAAAAACTCAAAACCAAAATATTCGGTCTTTAGGTTTTATTTGTTCAATCCTTAACCTTTCTTCCTTTAATACGTGGCCCAGTTCCGTGTACCAACCCTTCAAGCACAATTATGCGCGTGCTACTTCAGTATTGATGCGATTTCGGCTAAGACTAATTGTATGTTTGGCAATAGAAAACACCTGTTCACTAGACACGCTGGTTGCTTGTGTAGCAAGGAAGTCTAGAGCCATTCGCGCTAATGTCAGTTACTGGGTAGAATTGGCTTTCTACCACAAAAGTGGCTCATCTTCTGTCTCGGTTTCAGTTAGATAATTCTTTGGTTTATTTTGATTCAAAACAGATCTCAAGCTGATTTAGTGTTATAGGGAATGGTAATAGTTCACTTTCTTCAATTGGTTTATATTTTTATACATTTGATAGAGTGTATTACATACTAGCTTGTTTATGTTTATCAAGTTCATAGGTTGCAGAGTTATTATATGGATAAAGAAGACCTAAAAATTTTTAATAAACTATTTAGAAGAACCTAATACAATCCAAGTTTTTTTTTATTACTTTAGCTACTTTGTGTTGTAAATTAACTTCTAAGTTTATATTATTATTTAAATATATTATAAGGCTACAGAATATCATATATAAGTTACTTTAAGTAAGAAGTAAAGAAGATAATAGTATTATAGTTGTATAATATATAGGTTTAAAAAAAACAAGCAGGTTCTGTAAATTATATACATTTAATTTTTTTTTTTTTTTTTTTTTATCTTAAACGAATTTGCTCTTTATTTATTAAGAGAAAATATATATAATATTATGACAATAATATAAACTACACTAAACTAGCTATACAACTACTCTCTTCAACTAACTTTAAACTTACTTAATTGCTAAAGATATCTATGTGTAATCTGCTATAATAATAAATTTTCTTCTTAAAAAGAAAATTTATCTAAGCAAAAACTATTTTTTTAATTTGTAAAAAGTTATTATATACTTATATTAAAATAATCTAATTGTTTTTAAAACTTAACCAACTAAACTATCTTTTGTTTTTAACTTAATATAATCACTCATTTTAGTTTTAGCTAACTTTTAGAATCTAAATATCTTATTTTTTTTTTTTTTTATTTATAAATTCTTATAGGTCTTAGTTTTCTTTATCAGCATAGTTATAAGTAAAATTATCTTTTTATTTTTATTTCACTCTTTTTTTCCTTAATTCACAAGTGATACTATTCTTTTTCTTCTAATCTATCATTATTTTACAATAAAATTTCTATAGTTTTTTAAAAAAATTTAATAAAAAAATTTCTACAAACTAGCAAATAGTCTTGTTAGCTTTGGATCTTAATTCTATTGTTATAGAATAGATTTTTAGTTATTTTATTATTATATTTTATTATTATTATTAGTTATATTTATTAGTATTTAGTTATTTCTTATATTGTATTATTTTAGTATATATATTTTAGAGTAAAGAAAATTATTATAAATATTTACTTCTAAGTAAAATTCTTCAAGAAGCATTCATAGTGAAAAATATTCTTAAGTAACTTTGTAGCTAAGAATATCAGCTATACAATGATATAAGTTATATTTAAAGTTATTATATAACATCTAGAGAAAATATAGGCTGTAGCAAGAAAATACTATGCTAAAACTATGCTAGACTGTGCTGAATACTGTGTTAAACTGTGTTGAATACTTTGCTAAGAACTATACTAAAACTATATCAAATACTGTACTAATATTATGCTAGACTGTGCTGAAAGACTGTGCTAGACTGTGTTGAACTGTGCTGAGTACTGTATCTCTTACTGTACTAAACTATTAATAGTGATATTTAACTGTTACTTACATAAACACTTAAGTGATATTTATACAAGTTACTTATATGATGCTTTGCTAACATTTATATGATGCTTGCTAAAAGTTATAAATACAAGTAGAATTCCTTTTCTTACTTTTAAGTTGTTTAGACCTCAACTTCCTTTTAGTTGATAATTAAGTTCTGTGAACTTTTCTTCTTACTCTCTTTTTTCTTTAATAATAAATAGAGCTTAAATCCTCTTTTCTATCCCTTAATTTGTAACACAGACAAATTTGCTTATGTTTATTTTTAATTTTTGTAATTTTTAAAATAAAAGCTTAAATATTAATTTTAAATATATACTTTCTAAGTAAAATATATTTTTTAATATTTATTTTAACAACTTTGTTAAGAAAGTTTTTTAAAATTACTATAAAAGTTTTGATTAATAAATCTTTAAAGTTTTGCTTTGAAAATTTTTACTATAAAATTTTTAGTCAAATTTTTTCAAATTTTATATATAAATAAGATTAAAATTAATTTTTACTTATAATATAAGTATAAATTTTTACAAGCAAATCACAATATTGTAATAATTAAAGTTGTAATTCTTTAAAAGTTTTATCAAATTGCTTAATAAATTATATTACTAAAACTTAAATTAAACAAGTTTGTCTTGAAATACTAATAAAATTTTTGTAAAAAATTTTTTATAAAATTAGCTATTTTTAGTTCAAATATAATTCTAAATTTTTTTCTTATAATATAAAAACAAATACTGTAAAAAAATAATCATTATTTTCAAATTTTATTATCTATAATTATTTTTTTGATATTTTTGTATTTTAAAAAAGTAAATAAGAGCTGAATAAATGAAAAATGCAAATAAATTTGACTGTATTAGTCTATAATTTAAGAGATAATACTAAAAACTCTGCAATATTATTAACAAATCTAAACTCTTCTAAC